ACTGTGGGGGGATTTGGGGGGAACTGGGGCAGATTTGGCAAAAATCTGGGGGAGTTGGGGTGGATTGTGGGGAAGATTTTGGCAGATTTGGGGACAATCTGGGGGGGGTTGGGGAAGATTTGGGGGATTTGGGGGAGGATTTGGGGACGTTATGGCAAACGAGTTTGGGGGAAGATCTGGGAGATTTGGGGGAAGATTTTAGGGGGAGATTTTGGCAGATTTGGAAAGGGTTTGGGGGGGATTTTGGTCTGGATTTGGGGAGGGACTGGGGGGACTTTGGGGAAGACTTGGGAGTCTGATGGGAGGGGGTTGGCAGATTTGGGGGGGATTTTGGGGCTGTCCTGGCAGGATTTGAGCACTGAGAGAACACAGATTTTGGGGTTCCCTGGCTCGGATCGGGGCGCACCCATCAGCTCCACCCCACTGCTCCCCACATATTTCCCCCATAACCTTCTGGGGCCGCCCCACGTCATTAAGTGCCCAGCCTTAATTAAGCACCCAGAACGTGCCAGAGCCTTAATTAAGCACCCAGAACGTGCCAATTAAGGACCCAGAAGGTGCCACGCGTGCTAATTAACGCCCGCAGATCAGTTTATAGGGTGGGACACGGAAACAGGGGGCGGCCAAAAGTCGTCACCCCATTCCTGGGCTGGGGGGACGCACGTCCCCAGTGCGAGGCACTGAGATCAGAGCTGCTGCTCTGAGACTCGGGGTGGAATCAGATGGCAATGGGCTCTAAGGGGCCTCCCTGGAACAGAGTCCTTACGTGCCCCCAAGGAGTGCAGGGAGGGGGCGGGGGCTGGGAACATGGGGGGAAGGGGGGTCCTGGGCAGGGCTGGGGGCAGGGCTGAGGTTTGGGGGGTTGGGGGGAGGTTCAGAGCACATCTGTGCAGGATCCGGGGAACATCTGGAGATATCTGGGCAAGATTTGGGAGACGGCTGGGTGAGATGTGGGGGATACCGAGCAGATTTGGGGGATGTCTGCACAGGACTTAGGGGATATCTGTGTAGGATTTGGGGGGGTTGGGGATATCCGGGCGGGATTTGGGGGACATCTAGGCATGATTTGGGGGACAGCCAGGCAGCACTGGGGGATTTGCGCTCAGACCCACCCGAGTCCAGGATGTGGTTGTTGCGGAGGTCCAGGATCTGGATGGAGCAGTTGAACTTGAGCAGGTTGCCCAGCTGCGCCGCGTCCTGCAGCCCGTTCAGCTTGTTGTCAGCCAGGTAAAGCTCCCGCAGCGTCACGTTCATCTTCAGAGCCGTGGCTGCGGGCAGAAACGGGGAGATTTGAACCCAAAATGGTGCTGGGGGGGCGGGGGGGGGGGAGGAGGGGTTGGAGCAAAGTGGGGCTGAGAGCGTCAGACTGGGGGGGAAAGGGGGAGAAAGCATCTCAGTGCCCAATATGGTGGATGTGGGGAGGGGGTGGGAGTTGAGGTGAGATTTGGAGGCTTTGGGGAAGAATTCTGGGGGCCTTGGGGGAGATTAGGATGAGAGTTTTGTGAGGCCTTTGGGCTGAGTCTTGGGGGTTGTGGGCAAGAGTTCGGGGGGCCTTTGAAGGGGGGCTGGGGGTCTTTGTGGAAGGTTTGGGGGTGAGGGCTTTGGGAGGATTTGGGGCAGGATTTTGGCAGGGGGGGTCCATGGGGGTGAAGTTTTGGGGGTCTGGGGAGTGTTTTTTGGGGGTTCTGGGCAGGATTTTGAGGGGATCAGGTGGACTGGGTGGGATTTGGGCACAGTTTTGGGGGGCTTAGGGCAGGATTGGGGGGCGGGGGGGAGTTGGGCAGGATGTTGGGGGCTGTGGGCAGGGTCCTGGGGGGGGGCTTTGGGCAGCATTTGGGGGAGGTTTGGGGGTCAGAAATGAGGTTTTGGGGTTTCTCTGGGCAGGGCTCTCCAGCCAACACCCCACTGATGCAGGGGCACGTGTGAACGCGTCTCCCTTTCCTAATTAATCCACCCTAATGAACAATTAACCCCACAGCATTCCCTGGCTCTCAGCTCAGCCCCGCTGGCTGTCATCAGCCAGAGCCCAAACAACCGCTGATTCATTAGCATAGCGATTAATTAAAGTAATGAGGGGCTGCCCACCACAACCCACACCCAGTGCCTGCAGCCAAGGGCAGAGTTATGGGGTTACGGGGCAGCCCTGAGGCCAGGGTTCGCTTTGGAGCTCAATTTTAGGGTGAAAGTTCAGTTTTAGGGCCATTGGGGTTGGGGGGCTGTTAGGATCACTAGGGTGATAGGGGTTGGAGTCATTAGGGACACTGGGGACGCCGGGCCATCAGGAACACTGGCGCTGGGGTCGTTAGGGTGCTTATGGGCCGGGGCTCGGCTCTCACCCAGCAGCATGAGCGGCCGCCCCGACAGGCTGGCGTTCTCCAGGTGCAGCACAGCCAGGCTGCTGCTGATGCGCAGCGCCCGCGCCACAAACGGCGCCGAGGCGTCCAGCAGGGGCGTCCCGCGGGCGTCCAGGTACTGCAGGCAGCTGGTCTGCGGGAACAGGGCAGGGGCTGCAGCCGGAGCCACGGCGGGCCGAGAGGGGAGGGGAGCCGCCATGGGGGCTGCGGAGGCCGCGGGATCCTATGGAGCGGGGGGTGGAAGGGGCCCGCAAGGTCACGGGACCATGGGACCCAGACACCCACCTTCCTCATCATGTGTGCGGCCGCCTGCCAGCCCCGCGTGCCGATGTGTTTGTTGAAGGAGATGTTGAGGTGCGTGGCCGACTCGTAGTACTCGATCATGTCAAACAGCGCCGAGGCGCCCTGAGAGCGGGGAAAGGAGCGTGAAAATGGGGCAGGGGGGTGAAAGTGGAGATGGGAACAGACAAAATGGGGCAGGGGGGTGAAAGTGGAGATGGGAACAGACAAAATGGGGCAGGAGGGCGGAAACTGGAGATGGGAACAAATAAAATGGGGCAGGAGGGTGGAAACTGGAGATGGGAACAAATAAAATGGGGCAGGAGGGTGGAAACTGGAGATGGGAACGGCCAACGTGAAGCAGAAATGTGACAACCAGAAATCAGTGTGGCCAAAATGGGGCGGAAAGGTGAAAACCTACGACTCCCTCACGGTGGCCAACAGCTTCCTTGTGGCGGCCCACAGCTCCCTGCTGGTGGCCCACATAGGCTTTGACTTTTGGGTGACCCCACATGGAGCCAAGAGCCCGGTGACCCCACGGCTCCTCACTGCGATGCTGTGAGGCGCCATTGGCACCCGCCGCCCCGCCGCAGTGAAAACCCTTCTTAACCATTTCCGTGGCTTTTTAACCTCATCCGCTTCCCCGCCAGGTGCAGAACTGACCACAAAAACCACGAGGCTCCCTTGGGTCACCATGAGAACCACTCACGTCCTCATCCAAGCTGGTCTGCTCCAAGTCGACGATTCTGAACTGCAGCCTCTTGAAGATCTCCTCCAGCGCCTCGCACGCCTTGTAGTCCAGCTTCTCCCCTGGGGAAAAAAGTAAAGCAACAGAAATGGGGAGTTTGGGTTTGGAAAGGTAAATTTCTGCCGTGTTCGGGGACTGCGGGCAGCTGGCTGGTGGGAAAAGAGGGGAGGGGGCTCCAGGGCCCGGGACCCCGCAGATGGGAGGTGCATTTGTTGTTGTATGGCCATAAAATTCAGGGGATCTACAGTGCTTGGGCTGGGGGAACCACGGGATTCTCCAATGGTTGGGTTGGAAGGGACCTTTAGGATCGGGGAACCACGGGATCCTACAATGAAAGGAAGAGAAGGAAAGCAAGAACCAAAACCTCAAACTTTTAGCTCGAAGGATGGCAACAGAACCCAAAAAAGGGTTTTTCTGGGGTTGCCTGCACTCCACTCAACCGAAGGGTTAACAATGTAAAATCCCAATACTGTCCCTAATGTGGGAAATTCAATAGCACAGAACGAGGCGCTCACCTTTGAGATCCAAGCAATCTATCCTGGGTGCCAGGTCCTTAAACTCCTGGAAAAGAGCAAAAGGCAGCATTTTACCCCCAGAAAGGGGGGGACACTAAAAGGAGGAGAAAAAACAACAAACTGGGACAAATCCCAAAGCTGGGAGGAGCTGTGGGCACCACACGGCCGTGTTTGCTGACCAGCAAAGCTCTCAGTGGGATTTTTGTTGTTGGGATGAAGAACAACACGGGAATTTCCATCTCAAACAGCAGCTGGGAAACCGAGCCCGGCCCCGAGGCACAACATTAGGGGAAACGAGGCAAAACACGGCGCTAATTAACGGCATCCTTCATTAGGGCCGTGGGGCAGGAAGCACGCGGGGCACAAACAACGAGGGCCGATCCGCTCTACCTGGATCTGCTTGAGGAGTTTGGGGATCTGCTTGCAGCTCAGCTTCTGGCATGCCTGCTTGTAGGCGCTGACGATCTCCTCCACCGTCACGTTTTGGGCTGAAAAGGCACAGAATCAGGGCTGTGGTTATGGATGCAGAACCCCGGGTTCTCCGTGGGATCAGAGAGATCGGCAGCGTCCCAACGGGAGCAGCAGAGGGAACGCATCGACCTGCAGGCCCCGACGATCTCCGTTAACGGGATTTACTCCACTAACGATGACCCGCTGACCTGAAAACCCCAAAGCTCCCTGTGAATGAGCATCTGTTCTGCTCTCCTTGTCCTGCAGACCCCAACAATCCCCATTAATGGGAGTTTATTCTGCCAACCGCGACCAAAACCCCTTAGGGACACCAAAACAGAGTCCTGGGGGAATCCCAAACACTGAGCTCCAAAGGGGCCCCAAAATGGAGCCATTGGGAACCCTAAAAACGGAGCCCTGGGGACCCCATGTGAAGCATGGAAGGCACCAAAACAGAGGCCTGGAGGGCCCCTAAAAACAGAGCTATGGGCAACTCTTAGAGTCATTGGGAACGACTAGAAGCCCTGAGGGACCCCAGAATGGAGCCACAGAGCCCCAAAAATGGAGTTGTGGGGGAAACTGAAATGGAGCCTTTGGGAACCCAAAAAATAGATGCAAGGGTGCCTCCAGAACAAAACCCTGGCAGACCCAGAAAATGAAGCCCCAGGGGAACCCAAATGAGCCCTGGAGGATCCCAAAATGGAACCATGGAGCCCCAGAAACTGAATCGTGGGGGACACCGAAATGGAGCCATTGGGAGCCCTAAAAACAGAGCTCTGGAGGACCCCAAAACAGAGCAGGGCCTGCAAGATGGGAGCACAGCCCGGTAACCTAAGATGGCACGGGAAGAAGAGAGCGATCCCACAGCTCATAAATAAGAAATTAAGAGGAGGAATAATTGATGCTCATCGGCAAAGGCTGCAGAGGAAGGAGATCGCGTGGGGGAACCCGATACGGGTTGTTAACGGGGGAACCGAGTTCAGAGCAGTGTGCTGTGAGAGCACGGGATCCTGCAGTGGTTGGGGTGGGAGGGACTTATGGGGTCACAGAACCATGGGGTCCTGCAGTTATTGGGATCTGTGGGGTCATGGAACCTTGTTGGGTTTGACCCCAAACCAAGAGCCGTTAAGTGGGGTCAGTCTTGATACCCATTTTGGGTCCTGCAATGGTCCCGGTTCACGACCCATGGAGATCCATGGAGCCCCAAATTGGGACCCACCAAAGCCCCTGTCTGGGCCCCATGGAGACCCCATTCCAAGCCCCACTGAGGACCCCATTTGGGTCCCACCGAAGCCCCCAGTCTGGGCCCCACGGATCTTGGACAGGGACTCAATTTGGTCCCACACCAAAGCCCAATTTAGGACCCCTGGAGCCCCCAGTTTGAGCCCCAGCTTGGCGCCCACCAAAGCCTCACCCTGAGCCCCCTGAGCCCATTGAGCGTAGGGATCCACTGAACTCCCATCAAGACCCATAAAGTCCCAGACCCACCAAGACTCCCATCTAGGCCCCACAGAGACCCATTTTGGACCCCACAGCAGACGTTTTGGACTCCCAGACCCCCACTTCAGACCACACTGAACCTCCGATTCCAGACCCATTTACACCTCGGTTCGAGCCCCAGGACGGATCCATTTTGGGATTCTCCAAAGCCTCTGCTTCGGGACCGCTGAAAGCGCCGATTCCAGCCCACGAAGGCCCCACCGCGGGCCCCACCGAGGCCCCATTTCGGACCCCAACGCAGACCCGTTTCTGACCCACGGAGCCTCGGCTCGAGATGCCGGCCCGGACCCCGCGTGGCCCCACGGAGCCCCGGTTCGGATCCCACCAGGCCCAACCCCGGCTCACCGAACCAGCCCCTCCCCACCCCGTTACCGTGTCTCCACGGATCCTTGGGCTCCACCGCCCCGGACACGATGTCCTCATCGGACGGGAAGGTGACTCGCTTGGCGCCGGGCCGCAGCCTCCCGTCCTCGGCCCCCGTGGGCCCCGGGTTGGGCTCCATGGTCTCACCGGGGCATGGCGGGGCCGGGCCGGGCCGCAGCCGCCGCGCAGCGGAGCGGGGCCGCGCGCTGAGCGTCCGCCTCCGCACTTTCGCACTACCACCGGCACGCCAACATCAGAAAATTCTGTTAAAAAAAAACAACACGAGAACTCATCGGGAACGCGCGGGGCTAACGGAACTCTTCATTTGGTTTTATTCTACTTTTTCTAGACCGCAACGCGCGGCTCGCGGCGAATCTGCGGCGGCGAATCGCCACACGCGGCACGGCCGCTGCACTTTCGTCACAACAAGGAGAAACGGTCATGAAGATAGTAATTAGAAAGAAACACAGTACGGGGGGCTCCAAAAATACAGGGACGCGGAAAGAAGAGGGGGGGGGGTCATCGATCGCTGGTTAGAGGGACTCACAGCGATTTAGCGAATGTGCGGAAAGCGAATACACAGTCCACGGGCTGCGCGTCGCAGAATGATGACGTAAACGGAAAGCGCGGTCGGGAAGCGCGCCGGATGCGCAGCAGCTGAAGGTGGGCTGGGCGCCTAGCTGAGGTG